TAAAAAGGCCTAAGGCTCTAATTCAAATGCTCGGCCTTAGAGCCTCTCAGGCTTGCCTAATATATTAATTTTTTATATTTTTTTATATTTTTTGTACTACTTGTGATAAACCCTCTCTTTCTCCTCAATCCATTTCATTCTATTTTATTAATTAAACAGACTTTTTGAATGATTTTATTTTATATTATGCTATTTGGATGTACATTAAATTTATGAATATTTATGGAATTACTAGTGCTGTTGATTGTATATTTTGCTTGGATAAATTTTTGTTGTCTTATTTTTTTTAAACAGGCTTAACAGGCTAAAGCAAGCTTTCATTTTTTGTAAATTAGACAGGCCACAGGCTGAAATTATATTCGTGACAGGTAACAGGCTTTGCCAGGCTGACACATTTGAATACAGACTTAGCCTTTTAAGACCAAAGCTCGGCTCGACCTATTAACACCCCTAGCTCTAACCATTTATGCCTTTGTGAGCCCCAATAGGCATAAGGCAAACATCAACACCTAATGCATAAGATGTATCTGCCTCGTAAATGAGTTTCAGCGGGATAAGATAATATTTGTTTCACTTTAGGGATAAAAAAGAAGAAGAATCTGTTTACAAATTTTTTTTTTATAAATTTGTGCAAATTACATTATGTACTCTTGGGAGAACATAGTGTAACCTATTGTTTTCTCAGGAGAACATAGTGTAGTTCGTAAGAGTTTGTAAACAAAAATTCTCAGTTATTATGCGAGACATTTATGAAAATTCTCAGTTACCATGCACCTGAATTTTACCAGAAAAGCTACGATGTAAAAGCCATTAAAATAAGGGTTTTATTAATCTCATGTTAAATGAGATAAGTTATCTCATGTCATAGAGATAAATTTGTGGGCTCCACCACCTGAAAAATAAAAAGAAAAGAAAAGAAAAAGGAGGCACAGTTATAGAAGGGTGTGTAGGAGATAAAGTTATCACATGTAACAGAAGATAATTTTTCTCTTAAAATAAAATAAAAAATGAAGGAATAGAGAGAAAGGAAATCTAGTGCTTGTTATGAAATGAAGGAGGCGATGTTGGAAGGATTAAAGAGTTAAATCCATAGCCAATAACAAAGACCATTATAGCAAAACATGACATCAATAAGGTATTATGGCATATCATACCATATGGGTTTAAATTAATCAAGAAGCTCGGGATTGAGCACAAGAAAAGTCGAGAAGCATATGGGAGATCCTCTTTGGTGAGTGCAAGAATGTGACAGAGAGAAGAGATTACCATAATTATGATTTTTTTCACATAATGGATGTAGGTCAAGTTTTGGGTCAATGGGTCATTATTAAAACAAGTCAGGTCTAAAACTGACCCAAATAAAAGTGGATCAGTATTTAAACCCAGTTCCAAAAAATAGGTATTTATGGGTCAGGTCAATGTCAGATCAAGGGCAGGGCAAGTGAACCAATTTTTTTGCACACTCCTACCTACAATCTTTCAGTTGGACACACAAAGATTAATGTGATAAAAATAAAATATGTTTGCTCTAATTTACCATGGAACCCTCTATGATGCACCGATATCGACACGTGATACGAGACACGACACGATATGACACGCTGACATGTTAATTCTAAAAAATGTCATATTTCGACACGTTGGGACACGTTTTGATATTAAATAAAAATATTTAATATATAATATAATTTATATTTAATACTTATAAGAGTCCATAATAAGTCATATAATCAATCAAATATTTAAATTTTATAACATAAATATAAATAAAAATAATTTTTCGTACTTTGTTAATTTTTCATGTCAAATTTCATAATAGAAAAAAATTAATTTATAAATTATTTTCTTTATATTTAGTTAATAAAATAAAATTAAGATTAAAAAAAAACATGTCGGAGCGTTGACCGCATGTCTGAAAAAGTTGATCGCGTGTCAAAAAAACGTGTCAGAGAATTGATCGCATGTCCCCAAAAATTGACCGCGTGTCGGAGCGTGTCCATATCGAAAACGTGTCCGACACACAAATTTTGAAAATTTTAGCGGGTCCGTGCTTGGGAACCCCACTTATCATTCCATAAACTGAGTAATTTTATTACCAAAAAAAAACTTTGAGTAATTTCGTTCTTTCTTCTTTCTTTTTAGTTTCATTTGTGATTTCAACTTTTGGTTTCAGGAAATGGATGTTCTTTAATGTGGACAAGGCAACTTCTTTAATAGGATATAGTATACACATGTTAAATACATTTTTCTTATAAAGGAGTTAATAATAAATGACTTATAACCTATAAAGGTTAATAATATTTGTTTTATATATGTCGATAATATTCCGTACACTGCACCTAAAGACAAACTATGAGCAAAATAAAATTTTAACTTTTAGAAGGTTTTTACTTTTTCATTTGTTCTATTTTTTTATATTATTTATCACTTCATAAATTATTTCATTAATTCAATTTAAGCCGAGTATAATCACATAAGCAACATAACTTTCTGTACCAATAAGGCAATAACTGAAACTCAAAATTATTGATTCAATTAGAATAGTAAGGAGCATAACTTTTAATGTGCAATTTGAATTTCAATAAAGAGATTTCATTGACTTTTTTATGTGTTGCCAATCCCGACAAAGTACTGAAAAAAAAAAGGGAAGTCAATTGCATAATTTCAAAACAGTTTGAATAAGATGCAGACTTGTTGATTTGATGATCGCACAATGCTGTGAACTTGACGACAAAACATTTAATTTTAAATATTTATCATCTTCTTAGTAATAAAGAGAAGAAAAGCTGTATTTAAATTCAGCATATGTTATAAACAATTCATCATTACATATAAGTAAAATTTTGTGATATATTAAAAAAATATTTATCTCTAGACACATTATGAAAGGTGGACAAAATATGAAAGGAATTTACCTTTTATTTTTCTTTTAAATCACATTTTCATTATTAGAAAGAGATACAAAAAATATGAAGGAAAAAAATGCTACTATAATGCTAAATTTTATGCATTGAGATTCATAAAACAACACACAAATGGACAACATGAAGGTGACACTGGCGTTGGTCACTCAATATTAAATACGTATTTAAATGTGCCTAGTAAAGGCAAGCGTAAATTTAAAGCGTTGGTCACTCCATGCATGTGAGTTGGTGATGACATTTTTTCTAGGATTCTAACAAAAGTATTCACAGCTCGAGTTACCATTCAAAAGTCATTAATTGATAGGGAGTTAACACAATGAAGAGAAACAAAGAAGTAAATGAAAGAACAGTTGAAGACTTTTTCATGGCCTTTTTACAAGGGAAATGTGTTTTCTCAGTGAACGGAGATAAAATTATTTTTAGTGACTTCAAAATAATGTTATTTTGAGATTGCAAAATTTAAAAATTAAAATAATAAAGACTAATATAATTCTAAAATAAATTAAAATTATAAAAATATATTTTTCTCAATCTCAAAACATTATTTTAGGCTCACCAAAAATAAGTTATAGCGAATCACCGGAGAAATGCTAAGCCCTTTTTATAAATAGAGAAGGGGAAATGTCTTTCTCATGGTGTAGGAATTCCTGCAATTTTTTTTTTTAATTATGTACTCTGTGAAGTACATAATTAAAAGAAAATCAGCAATAATTTTTTAACTATGTACTTCTTGGGAATACATAATTAAAAGAATTTAACTATGTACTTCCAAGAATACATAATTAAAAAAATAATTTTAATATTATATCTATGTACTTTTAAAAATACATAGTTAAAAAATAGTTGCAGAAATTCATGTAACATGAAAAAAAAAATCCATAGAAAAGATAATTTTATAATTTTGGTGTTAAGAAATAAAAACTGTTAACAGCTAATTTGAAGTAAGATTTTCAAAAGAAGTAGAGTTTGTCACGCACAAGCTACTTTAAATAATCGGATAAAATGTGTCTGTTGCGTTAACAATTAAAGAAAAAATATTTTTACCAAAAAAATATTAAAATTAACTACCATGATTTTAAATTTTTTAAAAAACGTATTTAAATTTTATTTTAAAATAAACATTAATCTATTTTAAATAAAAGAAATATATCTCTTATGTTATATGAAATAATTTTTTATCCTGTACACACAAAAATAAATGAAACTTAATTTTATTTCTCTTTTTTTTAATAGATGTTACCTATTTTTTTATATATTATATAAAGGAAAAATATTTATTTTTTTAAATGACACAATTTGTATCATTTTACTCTTAAAAAAAGGTGAAACTCACACATTTTTTTTTTTGTCTATACTTTCTCTCCATAATCTATTTCTTTCTCTAATTTAAAATAACATAATTTTATATCTTTTAAAGTGACGTATATTTTTTTTCATTATATAAAAAAAAATTATTTTATATGAGATGAGAAAGATATTCATCTTTCGTGTAGCCGTTTGAGGAGTTATCAAACATAATCATAGTACTTGTTCATTGTCATCTTGACTTTATCTCACTTCTCTCTAACACCAACATTAATAAAGTTTCTATTCTCAACCTTTCTCTTTCTCTCTCTCCCTGGGTTTGGGGTAGGTCAAGAAAGAGAAGGAAATTGAGAGAGGTTAGTGTCCATTCTGCATTGCTCTGCTGTCCACTTTATTCTTTAATCCTGCTATCACTTTTTTTGTTTCCTCTTTGTTCATTTCTTTATTTATCTTTAACTTTTGCAAAATAAAAATAAAAAATGAAGTCACTTTCTTGAAATCTTTGGTTTTTTTTTTTGTTTTTTTTTCTGAATTTCTTATGAAGCCACTGTCTTCAGTGTTCTCTAGCTTGAAATGCTTCTCAATTTCAACTAAATTCTCTGGCTTTTTGGGTTACTAGAGAGCTAGTGTTATGTTATGCACCACCTTCTCAATGAAGCACAGTTCTAGATTATGAATGCTCTAACAGCTACTTGAGAATCTGAAGCAGAAGCACCCTCTCCAACTTCCATTTCTATTTCAGCAAATACTACTTAGACCTGCTTCTGAGCTCTCCCATTAGTCCAATGCTTCATTTCAGGTGATTACTCATTCAAAAATCTCTTCTTTTTGTATCTTTCTGCTTACCCACTGTGGTAATCCTAATTTAGTTTGTGGATCTGGGTTCTTTGAGTTGTGTTCAAGAATGCTCCTCTCCAATGGAGCAAAGCATTTGTGGGTTTTTTTTTAATTCTTATGTTTGGAACCCTTTTGGTTTTGGCTTTTGTTTGGGATGGGATCTGAAGGTACTTGTGGAGAAAGATTTTTTTTTTTCCCCTAAATGCAAATTTAGTTGTTGAACTACTCTTGACTGTTTTTGATCTTGTAATTTCCTTCCTAATCCATTACATGGGGTGTGAGTTTGAAGAAAATTTGGTTTCTTTTTTCATTCATTTCGTTCAATGTAGAAATTCAGGCCATTGCTTTTTGTCTTCAGAAGCCAAAAACAGGAGGGAAGCTTGCGTTGGTTGGTGGTTGGCTAGAAAATTATCTGTTTCAGAGAAAAAGAAAACTGCAGAAATGTTAGTTCCATGTTATCAAACAGTTTATGAAGTTACCACAAAGCTAAAAACACCTACTCCTATGACTGAATTTTGCTTTCAATTTATCCTTTCCTTGGTTTCTTTTTCGCTTTCCTTTTCTGCCAAAATCTTGAAAATTCTTTTTCTTGTTCATGAATCATGTCCTTCTTTTGGCAATTGGGTCTGCGTTTTGACCTTTTTAAAGAAAAAAAAAACCTAATTCTCTTTCTAACTTCATCTGTCTACGTGTTGTCTAGTATCTTGTGTCTGCAAAATTAGGAGGGGGTTGGTTATTTGTTAGCCAAACACTGTTGGTTTCCTTTGTTGCCTAAGATTTCTTAACATATTCTTTTGAATAGTCATTGTCTCCATTGCTGATTGCTGTTTGTAATTGCTTTGCTGCTATGATTTAGGTATGTACATGCTTAAAGTAACTGTTTTCAACTGTATTGAGTAGTCTTGTCGGTATAGGATGCTTCCTTTTTTGTTAATTGGGAATGGTTCTGTTTCAACTATTATTTTCTGAAAAGTTGTCACTCCAATTCTACAACCTAGATTTGTTATATATTGTTTATTTCTCATCTTAACTTTGATTTATGGTCATGGTGCTAAACCAGGGAAATATGAAGGCCAGCAAATTGTACTCTGAATTCAATTGTCAATATCTTATACCTTACATCAAACAACAACTCTCCATGAAGTTCAATTCTACTTCAGTGGCTCCATTCCTTTTTGTCATAATTATTCTTTTTCCCCTGGCTATTGCTGACCTGAGTTCAGATAGGCAAGCCCTTCTTGATTTTGCTAATGCTGTCCCCCACCGTAGGAACTTTATGTGGAATCCATCCACCTCAATGTGTACATCTTGGGCAGGCATCATTTGCAATCAAAATGGAACTCGTGTTATTTCTGTCCGGCTCCCCGGAGTTGGACTACTAGGCTCAATCCCATCCAATACACTTGGAAAGCTTGATGCTGTGAAAACAATTAGCCTTAGATCCAACCTACTCACTGGAACTCTGCCTGCTGACATTGCTTCTCTTCCTTCTCTCCAGCATCTCTATCTCCAGCATAATAACCTTTCTGGTGATATACCTGCCTCATTGTCTCCCCAACTCATTGTACTAGATTTGTCATATAATTCCTTCACTGGTGGCATTCCAAAGACATTACAAAACTTGACAGAATTAACTAGTTTGAATCTCCAGCACAACTCCCTATCTGGACAGATACCTAATCTCAATGTTACTAAGCTCAGGCTCTTGAATTTGAGCTACAACAATTTGAATGGCTCTATCCCAGCAGCTCTTCAGATTTTTCCTAACTCGTCCTTTGAGGGAAACTCTCATTTATGTGGACCACCTCTAAAGCCGTGCTCAGTGATTCCCCCTACACCTTCTCCTTTCTTGACTCCACCTCCACCATCAGCTCCTGGAAGACAAAGCTCTAAAAGTAAATTGAGTAAGGTAGCTATCATTGCAATTGCGGTTGGAGGAGCTGTATTGCTATTTTTTGTAGCTCTTGTTATTGTTCTTTGCTGTTTAAAGAAGAAAGATGCGAGAGGGTCCAATGTAAGTAAAGAGAAGGGTCCTAGTGGTGGTAGGGGTGAGAAGCCAAAAGAAGAGTTTGGGAGTGGGGTGCAAGAACCTGAGAAGAACAAGTTGGTTTTCTTTGAGGGCAGTTCTTATAATTTTGATCTAGAGGATTTGCTGAGAGCTTCGGCCGAAGTTCTGGGAAAGGGTAGTTATGGTACTGCATATAAGGCTATATTAGAGGAGTCAATGACAGTTGTGGTGAAAAGGTTGAAAGAAGTTGTGGTAGGAAAGAGGGACTTCGAACAGCAGATGGAGATTATGGGGAGGGTTGGACAACACCCAAATGTTGTGCCACTTCGAGCTTATTATTATTCAAAAGATGAAAAGCTTTTGGTTTATGATTATGTTCCTGGTGGAAACCTATCCACACTCTTGCATGGTATGCATTTCTTTTCCTCTTAGTTTCAGTTAAATTTTATAAAATTAAACTTGTTTTCTGTTATTCCCTCTGGTGAAATTGTTTTATTTCTTTTAAGATCATTCATATGTTTTGACTTTTGAGTCCTTCTGGATAATATAATTTTCTACACTTAGTTTTAATTGTCCTTGTTATAGTATCTACCTGAACCACCTAAAACACTTCATTTTCCCTTAAATTGGATCTCAATTTGATTACAGGCAGTAGGACAGGTGGAAGAACTCCCATAGATTGGGACACCAGAATAAAAATATCCCTTGGAACTGCAAGGGGAATTGCTCACATACATTCTGTTGGAGGTCCCAAATTCACACATGGAAACATTAAGGCCTCAAATGTCCTCCTCAACCAAGATAATGATGGTTGTATTTCTGACTTTGGCCTGACGCCACTTATGAATGTTCCTGCAACCCCTTCTAGAGCTGCAGGTTATCGTGCTCCCGAGGTGATTGAAACTCGGAAGCACACTCATAAATCAGATGTGTACAGCTTTGGTGTCCTCCTTTTGGAGATGCTTACTGGTAAAGCGCCTCTCCAATCTCCAGGACGTGATGATATGGTTGATCTTCCTAGGTGGGTTCAGTCTGTTGTTAGGGAGGAGTGGACAGCTGAGGTTTTTGATGTGGAGCTAATGAGGTACCAAAACATTGAAGAAGAAATGGTGCAAATGTTGCAAATTGCAATGACCTGTGTGGCTAAGATGCCAGATATGAGACCAAGCATGGATGAAGTAGTGAAAATGATTGAAGAGATCAGGCAATCTGACTCAGAGAACCGACCATCTTCTGAAGAGAATAAATCCAAGGACTCAAATGTTCAAACTCCATAGATTAACTCTCTGGCTCTTTGCTTAACCAGGATGTGACATTAGATGGTACATATAAGAGTGCATGCTTAGTCAAGGTTTCTCAAGCTGTATTTAAACCTTTCTGTCCAATTGTTCAATATTTTCTCACAGATGGATTTCCTTGAATTATTTTCTTCTATAGGTAGCTTGCTTGCCATGGATTTTTATGAATTGACATCATGATTCAATTGATGATCTTAATTCAAGAACATTTGGTCCCCTATAATTGTTGGTTGTGCTGTTAGTTAGTCTTCAATTGGATATGACTACTGCATCACCTTATCATGATTTGTGCTATAATATATATCTTTTTAATATATATATATATATATATATATATATATATATATACATACGGGGCAGGTTTTTTTTACACCAGTGTAAGACTAAAAATTTTTATACCATATCTCAACCGTTGATGGACGGAAATCATTGATTGGTATTTGTAGTGTAATCAATGATTAATTCATATTAATTAATTCGTATGACTTCTTAAATTATAACTATTGGATGCACGGAAATCAATGGTTACACCTGTGTAAAATGATCACGATCTTATATATATAGAAATTACAAAATAACTCCCAACATGTTTCTGGTTTGGTTTATAATTTTTTGCTCTTAAGAACATGTAATATGCGGATAACAATGTTGTAAATATGGAAATATTCTCATGTTTTTGGTTTAACCATCTCAAATTTTATACTGAATTTTATCTCTTGTATTTTACTCTCTCAACCAGCTTACACGAAGAAAGAAGAAGAAGAAATCTTTCAACTTTATCTCAATATCTCAGCGAAAAAACGCATTCAGCTATGATACATGTTTGCTGCAAATTTAAAAAGTGCCCTTATTAATTGAAAAATGTCCTTCTCCTGCTTGCATGTCATGAAATTTACATTCTTACAACTAATGTTTTTCTATTTCAACCACAAAAATTATCAAATATTTAGTAATGAGATGTGAATTCCATCTTGACTCAAAATTTATTTCTCTTTGTCCTTTTCCTTTAAAATTCTGCCATATATGGAACAATAATGACAGCTTTCAAATTTTTCAGGCCAATCATGCAAACAAGATGTTCTAATTTGGTTGGTCATGTGTAAGTGTGATTTGCAGCCTTGTATTGTTTTGAGGCCAATTCAGAGACAACTTTCAATAACATTACATTATAATGTTGTCATAAATTCTGAGCTAGAAAAGAAACCGATGAAACCTCTTTTAATAATGTGTAGTTATCAAATTGGATACAACCCTTCCTTGTCCCTAGACTCAATTAACTTCCTAATTTCAACAATTTGTTTGTTTTCTTAAAATTATATTTAAAATTTTACATATAATTAAAAAAAATAATAAAACAAAGTTAACAAAAATTAATATAATTATAGAATGCTAATCTGTTAATCTGCCAACCATGATTTACCATATATAGATTTGCACATTTGTGGTGACAAAACCTTTGTAGCCTAAAGTATAAAAAAAGGCATCACACAAGTAAACCTATATCTTTATGTTGTTTATGCTAAAATAACATTGGAGGTTGGTGTGTTTCCCTGAGGGTGGTGGTCAAAGGTTGGCAAATGGCGGAGCCATCAAGCAAGCCGGCGTTGGTAAAGAATCCGTCCACCGGAAGCAGCCGTAAGCCGGGGCGCCGTGTGGCCTTCCAAGTGCCATCCTATCCCCACAGGAACTCCAGCCTAAGCGACATTGATACCTCCATTGACCACTTTGACAAGGGACGCCAACGTCCATGTTGCTTTGCATGTTGTGCATGGGCATGCATTGTTGTGTTCATCTTGATTATCACTTTTCTCTTTGTTGGGATATCTTACCTAGCATTCCTCAGATCAGGGATGCCTACAGTCAATGTGAGGCAGTTCAACATAACCAAATTGCAAGTTGATAATAACTCACAAAAGATGGATGCAGTTATAAATTTAATGTTGAGGTTCTCAAACAAGAATGAGAAGATCAAGCTTTTATATGGGTCTCTTTCTGTTGATGTTAGCAGTGAGGATGTGCCATTGGGTAAGACTAAAGTTAATAGGTTCTCTCAAGTGGCTAAGAATGACACAGATTTGAATATTACAATGAAAATGGGCAATGCTGATGTTAACAAGTATGCTGCTGATGATTTGCAATCAGACATCAATGCCCATGAGATGGTTTTTGATGTATATGTCAGTGGAAAAATTGGTGTTCAGATTGGAAAATTGCATATGATTAATGTTCCCTTTCTATCATCTTGTCATCAAATCAAACGGAAGGATGTGGATTTGGGAAGAAAGCCTGAATGTGATGTCAAGATGTTTACTTTCAGGTAAAAAACTATATGTTGCTGATATCATGCCATTTTTTTCGATGTATACATTTTTGGTGATTAATTAATGGGAAATACAAGTTTAGTGTTGTTGCAGGAGACTTGTTATTTCATGACACAGACACAGAGTATATGAGATTCACTATTTTAAAAGAAATAAATTTTAGCACAACTTTTGATGTATATGTAAGAGAGATATATCTTTCTCACGATTACATGAGATATCATATAAACGTGTATGCATACATGCATGTATAGTTTTTTACATAGCCTTTCTTATAGCATACGATAATGTTTTCACAAGTATACTAATGGCTTTTGTAAATGTTGATGTGCACAATTTTGCTGCAGGTCCTCAACTAATTGATGAAATCAATTACGAGCAGGTTTTGGCAAAGCAACATTTCATGGCACCCGTCATTGGAGGACAAGTTTATTCTAGGGAAGAGCATTTATGCAAATAGTCAAGTATTCACGAGCTATTAGATACATGTACATCTTTGAAGTTGTTCAATCAGATGTGTACAACTTTGGTGTCCTCCTTCTGGAGATTCTTACTGGGAATACATCTCCAGGTCCGGAATATGGTTGATCCCTCTGCATATGTGCAGATGTTGCAAATTGCAATGACTTGTGTGGTAAAGATGCCAGATGTTAAACACAGTATTGAGAGCGCCATTAAGTGTATGGATGATACAAGTAATAGAATAGTGAGAGAAATTATCATCAATGATTAGTAATTTCAAACAGCATCAATTTGTTATTTTTACTTTATTTGGGTCAATAAAATAGGGGATATATTTTTCATGTTGCATTTATCTCATATGCGAGAAACATATTTTCCATTAAAATACTAAAGATTGTTGCGACTTCGGCAAGTGCACCGGTCATAAAAGTAACAAAGTGTACTGAGTACGAGATCATTCCCACGAGAATTGGGTTTTCAAGCACTAGTTCGCTAACAACGATTTTAGTTGGACAATCAAAAATTGGATTTAAGAGAATTGAATTTGAAACAAGCAATAGCATGCAATTTAAAAAATTCAGAATTAAAAAGACAATGGAAAAAGATGACGATTGATTAAGAATTAAAAACAAGCGTAGTTAGGATTTCGACTTCCCTCAATCTTCTCTATATGTTATGAGTTAAACTACCAAGAATCTGTTCTTAAAATATTGCCAATCAATTCTTTCTAAGTTAATTAAGGCTCAATTCATTGTTATCCTAAATCTATGTGATCTTGAAAGAACTCTAGTTCCTCGATTATTTTTCAAGAAAACATGCATTAAGATCAAGAATTTAAAGATTGCACAATTACCCTATGTCTATCCCTAGATCACAAGGATTGTGATAAATTTATCAAGTCAGGGTTTATGCACCAATATCCCTATTGTCATACAATTCCCCTAAATCAATCTATAAGGAGCAAACTCATAGAAAACATTAAAGACAAATAAATTTATTCAATTACTAAAAGAAAAGAATTCAGAGACAATTTAATTCATAAAACATAAAAATTCAATTGGGTTACAGGCGCCATCTACCCCTAACTACATAAAAGTCTAGCCTAGCATACTGAATTGAAAAACAATAATAAAGAAAAGAGAACCCCAAGCCTCCATTGATGTGATGTTGACTTGGTTTCTCAGTACTCCAACGCTCCGCAACAGGATTCCTCCTTGTGCTTCAGATGCCTCTCTGTTCTTCCCCTCTTTTCTGATTCCAAGGCCCTTTATTTATAGAGGAGAAACATATCTTTTAATTTCTATTCAAATCTCCTTCAAATCTTAATTTGGATATTGATAATAATTTGGCCTTTAATTTTTACGCATTAGAGCGTTTTAATGCCCATTAGAGCGCTAAAACGCTCTCACAGTATAATGTTGTCTGCCTTATAGCGTTTTAACGCTCATTTGGGAGCTAAAACGCTCTCTTCGAAAGGAACTTTGCGCTGTCAGGGCGTTTTAGCGTTTTAGCGCGCTGTTGGGCGCTAAAACACTCTCCTCCATTGGATTTTGGCTATTTTACTTCTTTAGGGCGTTTTAGCGCGCTATTGGGCGCTAAAACGCTCTCCATCAGTCTGCGAGTTGCTTGTAACTTGCTTTCTTCGGTATTCAACCATCTCCTTGCATTCCTTTTTCTCCATTAGCATTCTTTTATGTCAAAATACCTTCAAAATAAGCAAGATTACCACATGTTAGCTACAAATCCATTATTTATGATTTTATACTATAAAACCTTAGTTTTCATGCAATCTACTATGTAGTTCTTGTATAAATTAGCCTAAAAACATGGTAAACCAGGGGTTTATCAAAGATTCACGATAGGAATTAATAACTAACACAAATATATGGAACATACGATATGCAACAAAATTTAAAAAAATAAAATAAAAACAATGATAATTATTTGGGTAAGATTTTAATTTCGCTCAACTTTTACTTGTGTAACTTAGCTCGATTCCCGATTAATTTATTTTTTGACATCTTCAATCAATTCAACATAATGAATTAAAATCTATTTTTTGGTATCTTAACCCTTTCCTTAAAACCGAATGTCTTAGTATTTTTTTTTTTTTTGAAAACTAATGTCTTAGTATCTTTTAAAAGATTTTTAACTGATTGCGAAAGAGAGTATTCTACCTTATAGTATATTAGGAAGCCAAATGCTGTATGAACCTCTTTTTCTCAAAAGTAATACAATTTTAAAATTATATGTAGCTGATATCACACGATTTTTGGATGTATAGATTTTGGTGATTAATTAATAGGCATTTGAATTTGAGGTTTCCATATTTGGTTCGATGGAACTTGAAATTCCAAAAAGATTATTGGGGTGGATGAAATTATAATAACCTGCATAATTAAAACTCACTAATTGATTTTAGATATGTC